AGCTATATATAGGAAAGCCCTTTAGGGGAGTATCTGGTAACATTTTTACAGAAATGACTGGTGGAGAGAGTCAACATATACTTAGCAGATAAAATTGAGGGGCCTTGAAATTAGAGTGGATCTAGGAGAAAGGGCCAGAAAGGTAGAAACAGCAAGTCCTAGGCTTACAGATTTTGAACCCACAAGGCTTACAGCACCTAGCATTTGGACAGATAACACTGAAAAAAGTTCACACTGAAAGCAAATTATCACAGATCTGGTTTGAGATTTGCTGAACTTGAGCAGTGTTGAGACATCCAAGACAATGTGGCAAGTCACACGGGGGTGAATGGAGCGAGCTCTGAGAGGGAGAGGCAAGCCTGTGAGTCACCCAACTATGGGAATAACCAGCACCTTATATATTGACGGTGTCTTCAGTGTCTATGGAAAGAAGACGACTTCAAACACTCTTCTGAAATTCAAATATATAATGGCTAGAAAGACAAGTTTGAGCATACAAAAGGTGATAACAAAGGATAAAGTATAGCACTGTGGTAGCAAAGGCATTGGAGAACGCTCTAGGCAGTTCAGACTGCTATAACCAAATGCAATAAACGAGGCAACTTATAAACAGCAAACATTTATTTTTCATAGTTGTGAAAGCCGGGAAGTGCATGGTCAGGGTCCTGGCAGATGTGGCATCTGGTAAGGGCTATTTTCTAGTTTATGATGACACTTTGTCACCTCCCAAAGGCCTGCCTTGTGATATTGTCACATTGTTGATTAGGTTTTAACACATAGATTTTTGGAAGAATTCAAAATATTCAGACCATGGTAGTTTTAAGAAGAAAGAAATTATCCATAATATTGATTCTTGCTAAGAAGTCATATAAGAAGGGCAGTGAAAAAACATTCTTGATGGATTTAGTGAATGGCCGGCAGAATTCTAGGACGGCCTTGTGATCATCCTCACAGCTCTTAACGTGTGAGCCGAGTATCATCCTTTCTCCCTAGACAAAAGAAAGACCTGTGCCCTTCTTTTAGCCAATAGACTTTGCAAAGGTGATGGGATAATTATTATCTCAGATTGGTTGACAATAATTTGAGGCTCTCTTTGGTGAGCCTGGTTTAGCCAGGTGACATCACTTACCCGAGGGACAGGGCTTTCTCCCTGACAAGAGGGAAGAGGCAGCCAGGAGCTTCAGGAGGCCTCTAGGACCCACAGGTGCTTCCAGTTGGCAGCCAGAAAAGAGCGGGGACTGTTGGTCAGACCACCACGAAGAAATAAATTCTGCTAATAGTGAGTTTAGAAGTGAATTCTTCCCCACTGAGTTTTGAATAAGACTTAAACTTGGTAAGAACCAGGAGCAGAGTCCTCCTGCCTGGACTCAGTGCCTGGACTCCTGATCTACAGAAATTGTGATATAATAAATGAGTGTTATTTTAAGATACTAATTTTGTGGCAATTTGTTACACATCAATAAGAAACTATCACAGCAACATAAAAAGATTATTAGTGATCTGAGTGAAAGCTGTTTCCGCACAGTGATTGGATAGGAACCAGCTTGGACCATTTGAAGGAGGGAGTGGTAAGTAGACAGAGCAAGTATGGATGATTCCTTTGGGAGGTTTGCCTGGGAATAGAACTTAGTGTAGGGCTACAGCTGAATGGCGCTGTGGCTTTAAGAACAAAGCATTCATTCATTCATTCATTTTAATGGTAGTATACCTTAAGCATGTTTAAAAGTCTTTCTTCTATAAAAATGAATTTCTTTTCACAGAAAATTTGCTTAGCTATGCTAAAGGAAGCATTGCTAGATGTAATTCACACTAAATAACTGGCTAAGTGCTATGTCTGGTGTCCATATGTGGACCTTTACACTGAAAAGATTGTCAAAGAGCATAAAGAACTATAAAACTATGAAATAAGCTATTTAGCAAAAGCTTCCTGTATACCAACATCTCCGGATGACAGAGGCCTTGCCTAGCTCTGGAGAACACCCATGGCCTGAGGCAAGTCCCACTATCCTTTTAGTTCTCAGGGAAGCCCTTATCATTTGACTTTTTATAGTGGTTTTCCAAGATGGCAGCTTTCTATGGGAGTTGGCCAAGAAGTCTTGGTGCTGATCTTATATTGAATTTATAAAATAGCAGGGAAAGAACCATGACATTGTGTTAGACAACATTGTTGCAAGAATTTCAGCTTCAAGGCATTTGTTTAGAACCTGTTTCTTGGCATGCGCTATTATTTTGAAAAATATTGGAATTGTTTTTGTGGATTTGAATTTCTCTCGAAACCATGTGTTAATATCCTCAAGAAAGTTTAGATTGAAATAAGAATACTAATAAAAAGAGAAAGAGAGAGAGAGAGAGGAAAACTTGCTACATCCCAAGTCCCATTCCAAGTACTTAATGCAGATATTTCCCTTAATTCTTAAACTAGTCCTACTATGACATAGGCTCTATCATTATCCTCATCAACTAAGTATTACTGAGTCTTAGATTTAAAAAAGTAATATTCTGGATCATCCCGCTAGTCCCATGAAGTGTCGTATTAGAGAATAAAGCCTTTTGTGTGTCCCCAATGGTTTTAACTACTACGATATGTGCTTCCATTACAGAGATGTGGCTTGGTTCTCAGGGAATTGATACTGTTGGGAACAGAACAAGAAGAACCTGTCATTATACCAAAAAGGAACAATGAAGACCTCTCTGGAAGAGAATAACATTTTAGAGATTTCTCATTTTTCAATACAACACTCCATGTTGAGTGACCGAGTCCAGCTGAGTTCCTGCGCTGGTACTTCAAACAGAACCCTGAGTGCCACAAACCACTTGTTTAGAACCTGTTTCTCGGCATGAATTATGTAACACAGAGACAGTTAAATTACACACCTAAGTGCTTGTATCTGATATTAGAGCATAATGAAACTTGACTATGAAAAATACCAATTAGTCTTTTGCATAGGTAATTCAATATCATCTGATACCAATTATTTCACACAGGCTAATAGTTTTTAAACCTGAGGTTGCATCAGATCTCTCACAGGGCTTCTTAAAATCCTGATTACCGGGGCCCAATCGAAGAGTTTCTGATTCAGATGGCATAGGTTGAAGACCCAGAGTCAGCACTCTTAACAAGTTCCCAGGGGCTGATGCTGGTCTGGAGAACACACTTTGAGAACCATTGGCCCAGACAAGGGTCCAAAACCCTTTGTCCATAAAAAATTATGTAAATACTTTTGGGTTTGTGGGTCATATGTTATCTCTCACAACTATTCAATTCTTTGGCAGTGTAAAAGCAGTTGTACATAATGTCTAAATAAATAAGCAATGGCTGTGTTTCAGCAAAATTTTATCAACAGAAAGAGCTATCAGGCTAGATTCTATCAACAAACCACAGTTGGCCAATCCTTAGTCTACGTCTACATCAACTCGGTATAAAAGTCCTCAAAATAGCAACGCTCTGAGAATCACCTATAGATGTATCCACAAATATCCCTTCTAATTTTATTTTTTAATCTGTAGAATTATAGATTCCACTGATTATGTTAAACCAGAATAGAGAAGAAAGCTCAAAGTTTTCCTGTCAACACAGTAAAAGAAGCAATACTTCCATGCAAGAGTCGCATCTTATAAATGATTTTTGTTTTAAATGCCCATGAATTCTTAATTTTCAAATTTTAGCTTTAATTAAATATTGTTTGTAGTGTTAGAAGCTATAAATCTACCAGTTAAAACAAGATTAACATTATATCAAATGACATATATGTTATCCCAGTAAGGTTATCTACTGGCTTTGTAATAAAACAAAACAAAACAAAACACAAACGCTCAACTTGCCATGAGCATGCCCTGTTTTAATGTATTTGGTCTTTATTCAGAACAGTGTACTCCAAACTAATTTAAAATGCGAATATAGTCTTAAAAGCGTACTAAATTTATACTTCAGTGAACTGACTACATTAGCGTGGTCCTTATAAATTGTTAATTCCTGTAAAAGGTCAAATTTCAGAAAAATTTTTGTCGTAACGGAATATGATTTATTTCCCTGAAAATAATTACATGCAAATGAGGAGAGTTAGTATGACAGGTCCCTTTATGAACTTAAAATGTGCATACGATGTTAAAAGTCTCTAACAACCATATATTACAGACTACAGATATGTAAATAAAATCTCCATAGTCAAATCTATATGGCAATATTTAGTAGACTGAGGATAGACTGAAATGATTTTATGGCAAGATACCACATACACAGCATCTATCTTTCAAAACTGTTTTCTAAGTCAATTAAATCAAATGTTTCAGTTTTACAATCAGGTTTATATCTACCCCTAGATATTTATTCTTTCATCTAATACAGTGGTTTTAAAGACTTCTTCAGTTTTTTTTTTTTTTAAATCCCAAACATTTAAAAAAAGCACTGTGGTTAAATGGAAACTGGAGAATGTCTATTTCGATACCATCAAAAGTTTCTTTAGGACTTTTCAAAATCATTAAGATGTGGAGTATAAATGTTTAAAGACAACTTAGTAGATGGTGCAGACTTTTCCAACCTTATTGTACATGAAACCTGATGATCAGTCCAATGTCTGATCAGAAAGCCACATTCTAAGTAAGCACCAATATTCAGGGAACATCTGACAACTTGTTTACAAAAATCAACTCAATTCAATAAATATTTTATCATTGATTACACATTTCAAGTTTAGCCCTTTCATTTCACTATGCTACTCACCAGTCTACCTAGAATGCAGTTAATCCTTTTACCAGAATCGCCCTGAAACACAGTTAATTCCTTCACCGGAATCTCCCTAGAACACAGTTAATCCTTTTCCCAGAATCTCCCTAGAACACAGTTCATTCCATCACCAGAGTCTCCCGAGAACACAGTTAATCTTTTTCCCAGAGTCTCCCTAGAACACAGTCAGTCCTGTCACCAGAATCTCCCTAGAACACGGTCAGTCCTGTCACCAGAATCTCCCTAGATCACGGTCAGTCCCCAGAAACATACTTACACTCCTCCTCGGGCCTCTTCCGAAGGGCTGCGCGGACTTCTTTACAAGGGCTTCTCTGATATTGTGGGGGATTCCGTCCCCTTATTAGGTTCTCCATCCTATTAAAGAGAATCAAAGGAGTATTTTAATATCAAAATACTGAAAAACTGAATCAATAGTCACAAATTCAAGCTCTGCTGAGACAGGCGGCACCCCTGAGATTATCTGGCAGGGAGTCGGGTGGCTAGGAGTGGCAGGGACTACGTGAATGAGAGAGTGCTTGACTTTTCCAAGGCATTTCAATTCAAAAATACCAGAATGCCGTGTGCATCAAGACTGTGCACATTCTCTAATTAGAAATGACTGCAGACTGCCTGTGTCCTCCCAATTCACACTTTGAAGCCCCAAACCCTGTTGTGATGTGCAGGGAGGGCCTTTGGGAAATATTCAGGCTTGGAGGAGGTCCTGAGGGTCAAATCTCCATGACAAGAGCGGTATTTGTAGAAAGAGATGAAATGACAAGAGAGGGTTATCCCACTTTCTCTCTCTGCACTGGTGGAGGCCCTTTCCCCTCCTTGTCTTCTCCTCCTGACACCAAAGACTAACTTAATAGACAGGCTGTGGAACTGCCTACCTCCCAGGCCCCACATAAAAGTGGTCCCTAACTGCCCCAGGGCTCAGACAACAAACATCTTTTCATTGCCAAGGCAATCACCCTTCCTCTTTCAATAAACCTGGCCTGAACATCTCTCCTCTGAGGCCTCTGCCCCAGGGCCGTTGTTTACACCTTTCACAAAGGCCTTGATATGGAGGGAGAATAACCTGCCTGCAAACACTTTGACCCTGACCTTCCCCACCCGAGAACTGAGAGCCAGTGTCTGTTTGTTGTCTGAGCCTCTCAGACTATTTGGTATTTGCTCTGTTCTAGCAGCCCCAGCTGACTCAAGTGGAGACCTATTGACTAATGAGTAATTACTTGCAAAGTAAACAGTTTTATAAAGAGTAATCTCACCCTTTAGAAAAAAAAAAAAAAAGCACACCTTTCACCAAAATTTCCCATGCCAGTTTTCACGTGTGGAATTCCTACTCTCATTCCATGTTGATGACTGAATTGACAGGGATTTCTAATTCTAATAATTGTCACTTCTTGAAAAAACAGATTGACATAACTGTACTTCTCAAATACTGGTGACGTGGTGCTGACAACCAGAAAATATGACAAACTCATCAAACACAACGTGGGAGGCATCTTTAACAGAACACACTTTGGAGTTTGTTCGTTAGGTTGATTGGTTTGGAGGCAGAGTCTCAGGCTGCTGCCTGGCCTGAGGGAACAGCATGTGCTCTGAGATCAGTACTTTCTGTTTTCAATAAAGTTCCCAGTTTTGCACCTTAATGCATATTCTACTAATTTCCATAACACTAAAAAAGAAATGCTATTGAATGCTGTAGATTTGAAAACTCAGAACAAATTCATCATTTTTAAATATAAACATGGTTTCTTAACACCTACATGATTTTTATAAACTAGGGCTATCACTGGTCTGATGATCAGCCTGGGTGATGATGTCAGTGCGCTCACAGGGAGAGGCTGCTGGATGTGCCTGTGTGAGCCGGTGCACCTGCTCGGAGGCCCTTTCCTGTCTGTACACTGAAAAACACATTTCTCAATGTGCAGTGGTAACAAATCTTAGTGTCACTTGAAGCTCATTTCAAGTGAGAAAAAAAAGAGTTATGAAAACCAAAACCACTCTAAGATACCATCTAACCCCAGCAAGATCAGCCTACATCACAAAGTCACAAAACACCAAATGCTTGGGTGGATGAGGAGAGAAGGGAACACTTCTGCACTGCTGGTGGTATTGCAAACTAATGCAGCCTTTTGGGAAAGAAGTATAGAGAATCCTCAAAGGTCTAAAAGCGGACCTTCCATTTGACCCTGCAATCCCATTACTAGGTATCTACCCAGAAGAACAAAAATCATTTTACTGCAAAGACATCTGCACCAGAGGGTTTACTGCAGCTCAATTCACAGTTGCCAAGTCCTGGAAGCAGCCTAAGTGCCCATCAACCCACGAATGGACGACTTTACACCTTTTACATTTACCTGGATGGAGCTGAAACACATTCTTCTTAGTGAAGTATCATAAGAATGGAAAAATAAATACCCAAGGTACTCCATACTAATGTGAAATTAATATAGAAACAATTACTTATTTGTAAGACCAATGTAACACTAATATAGTACAGTTTGGGGATAGAAGGAAGTGGGAGGGAGGAAGGAGGACTTTTGGCAGAAGGAGGGAGGGCAGGAGGTGGGATCTCACCTACTGTGCACATTGTGAGGGTGTCTAACACTCCCCTGGGTGAGGGGCTCTTCTACAAATGGAACTTTACCCTGGAAGGGAGAACAATGTAACATATTAATTTGTTTCTATTTATTTATTTATTAGAGACAGAGTCTCACTTTGTTGCCCTCAGTAGAGTACCATGGTGTCACAGCTCACAGCAACCTCCAGCTCTTGGGCTTAAGCAATTCTTTTGCCTCAGCCTCCCCGTAGCTGGGATTACAGGCGCCTGCCACAACATCCAGCTATTTTATTTTGTGTTGTTGTTGTTGCAGTTTGGCTGGGGCCGAATTTGAACCCACCAGCCTTGGTATATGGGGCCAGCACCCTACCCACTGAGCCACAGGCACCGCTCCCTCATATTAATTTGAAAAAATTAAAAAAAATTAAAAAAAGGTTATTTTTCTGAATGTAATGATAATACAATGAGAACAAACTGAATGGGAACCTGAAGAGTTAAAGATATAATTTGCTTTACTATTATATGTATTTGTGTGTTTGTGGGGTACGGGGTGGGGTATAAGTTTCCCGGCCTGTTACTACAGTTTCACCAGGAGGATTGCCTATGTAAATTAAATTACATCAAATTTTCTAGTTCCTGACTCCTGAATTAATTCAGTGCACAATTTTGATTATATGTTTCAGCAAGTGCATGAATTTCCATGATGATCTAATAACAATTTAAGTGAATTTACAGTTATTCACTAGTATTTACCAGCTCAAGATAGCAAAATACAGCACACATACCCTGCACTGGCAAACAGCTACATAGAACTGCAGTATAATTTTAAAAACCAATTTTACTCATTGTGATCACACTCTGATGGGGAAATGAAAACTTATCTTGGTTGGAAACATATGCAAACAACTCTCTTAAATGGGCTGTTGTTTTGTCTTTTATCTCTTTGACTATCAAATATGTGAAAACCAAAGTGGGCCACCTGATTTCTATGTAACTTGGTTAAGGGCGTGTCAGAGAAACTGAAGTGCAGGTTAGAAAGTACTTCCAAAGAGATTTAGAGTTTCATTTAAATGGTTTCTATTAGCGTCAAAGATCCCCAAGTCAGTCTTCCAGGAACCACAGTGCCCAGCGGTGGCATTCTGGCAATACCCTTGAACCGATGTGCAGGAGACATGGTGATGTTTGCTACCTGGCATGCCCTGAATGTGATGAGCCAGGCTTCTGGACTCAGACTGCCTGGGCTCAAGCTCTTACTCTGTCTCTTAAAGGATAATTTTAGGGAAAGTTCTGTACTTGGTGAGGGTAGCACGCCCACCTCACAGGAGTGCTGTGAGGATTAAATGTGTTCACACATGTAAAATACTTTGCTCTGTGCAAGAGCTTGGTCAATGTAGCGGATATCAGTCATAATCATAGCAAATAAAAATGCAATCTTATACTACCATTTAAAATATCCGTTATTTTAGGAAAAGTATCAGAACTGGCCTTTATTTAACAAAGTAAATGGACAGATGATACTATTTAGAAAAAAAACATACTTGGCTAAACAAATGCCCTGGTTATTAGAGAAACACAGAATATCTACATATATAAATTGCTAATTTTCAGAAAACAAGAACTTCACAAAATACACTTCATTTTTTATCAGCACCATTTAAGGGATTACTAATAATAATCTTCCAAGGATTCTAAGATGAATAAAAGCGGGTCATTATCTTTATGAATTAACTAAAGTGCTATGTAACTTTGTTTTGGGGAAACTAAGAAAATATTTCGGCTCGGCGCC